CCTCTTCCTGTATTGATTCCATTTTTGTGTCTTTCGGTCTCTAGCCCTCTCGCAATTTCTATTGAACCAATCCTGTTTCCTAGTTCTGCATCTCTGTTTTGGTATAAATTTTTTTGTGCCTTTATCATATATTTCACAAAACTTGCCATACATCTCATTCACTTCCTTGCCTAGCATCAAGTCTGTCCAATTATACTCACTAAAAAAATTTCTAAGGTCACCATAATGTCCTCTCCTGAAGTCTGGTTTTTCAACTGCTTCAACCTCCTTATTTTCTTCCAGCTTATAACGCATTGCATACTTTATTCCCAAAAAGACATGGTCACTTTTACCCAAGGGAGGAAGGTACTGAATGTCAAATATCTCTTCCTCCTTCCTGGTAAATATCAAATCTAGCATGGAGGGAACGTCCCCTTCCCTCATCCACGTAGCTTGTTTAACATGTTGATACAAGAATGTTTCCAGGATGAGGTCTACAAATTTACAGGTCCAAAAATCTTCTGTTTTAGCTTCATATGCTTCCCAGTCTATGGATTTCAAGTTGAAGTCACCGACTATCAACAGTCGTGATCTATCGTTATCCGCTCTCGCTATAATCTCTCTCATTATTGTTATAAGACCTTCACGTTTACTATCTAGCTCCTCCTTTGACCATGTGCTGCTTGGCGGTGGACTATATGCATTTATCATCATTAGTTTATCATCCTCATAGCAGATCTCTAGTGCTATTATGTCAACTTCTTGTGGATTGGCAGTCATTATTTCCTTCACCTTTAGGTGTTCTTTTACCAGCACAGCAACGCCACCGCCTTTCCTAATTTTTCTGTCCCGTCTCCAAATTGAGTAGCCCCTTGGGAATATGTGAAGTGGTGTACGAGTGTTTGGTCAGGCTTTTCACTTGTTTATCTCTATGTGGTAACGGTTCACATTTTATATTTGGCGGCAAATCGATCCTTGGTTTTAGAGATTTTTAGGCTTCAAATGTTGACTTATGCGCAGGCATATATGGTAAACTCTCTGCCTGTCTATTTACATCCGGACAAACCTCCAGTCATCCAGATTCTATGGACATTCATCTGGATATGGACAAAATTATCCACATGAGATTTTGTCCGGATGACCCCGATATCCGGTTTAGTGGAATCTGGATAATCGAGCTCATACAGAACTTCTGAACATCATGGGCACAAAGGTAGACTGCAGGCTAGTTCTAGACTTAATAACACTCCAGACAACCTGAGAGAGACAAGCCTTGGAACATGAGGCCAAGGTAACAGGATCAACCCACAAAGAATCCACAGAGGTAGAATCAGAACCTGAAGGTAGAGGCAGAGAGCTACCACCGGACACAGCACATGATACACCCCCAGCCAAGCCAATCAATAACCAAAGGACCTCTTTGGCAGCCAGTTGACTCATTCTTCACCAGAAAAGAAGGAGTCAGCTGCAAATGAACAAACCTCTCACCAGGTTCAAAAGAAATAAACCCACCTCCAGAAGAGAGCATGAAACTTTCCCACCCAACAGCTGGAAGCGAGAGGAAACCAAAAACAAAGAATTAAATAAACAATCTCAGACCGAATGTGACACCATAAAGCAAGCACAAGAAAGAAATGTAAGATGGCGGCCCAGAGACCAAGCAGGCTCGGGTAGCAGATGAGCAGGCTGAATGTAAAACAATACAAGATAGCCTGTGAAATGCTCTGGACCATGGAACAAGGAGGTATTGACCCCAAGCTCAAGCTACAGTGGCTCAGTCAGCACAGCACAATACAAGGCAACAGTATTCAGCATGAGATGCCAAGAAAGGAGAGCACAACACACTCAGACACTGAAGAACAATGACAAAAAGGAAGGAAGTGGTGAAAAAGATTGCCACAAAACCTCATACTATCACTGAGAACAACACAGATGGGATACCATTAAAGAAACCACCTACTTGCTATAGGGATGGCAATAAACATGCATAAAAAATCAGAAACAAAGAGAGAAGAATGTCAAACCAGTGAAGTACATCACTGGGCTGACCCTCTCAAAGTGGTAGAGCTGCTGAAAACTGTAGAGCTGCTGAAAACCCCCAGGTTCGGACATCAAGCAAGCAATGCCTGAAACCGAGGCTGAGCCGGCCACCAAGGGGCCAGGAGGATTACCTTTCCGTGGTAGGACTCCAACCTGACCAGGACCCAGAGCAACAGCCAGACCAGGGAAAAGAGGTAGAGGAAACACCAGCTTAGCCAGCGAAAGGAAGCCACTGCAGTGGCCTCTAGGTCGGGGAACGGAGCCACATAAAAGGGAAGGTACCAAGACCATGCTAGAATGTTAGATATAAACATCCTGGATATAAATGGATATAAATATATGGTGCCCTGGATATAAATAGCACAGAGAGAGCCAAACCCTGAGAACCCAGCAGAAGAGCTACCCAAAGTGACCAGCTCCATAGAGACAGGGACCTAAGCAAACCAGGAGACGATGAACCATGGAGAACCAGTACAAATGGAGCCGGAGCACAGAACCTTTAGGAATCTGAACCCTCCACAGCACATGACACATGGCTACAAACTCATGGAACTGTACTGTGAGCCCAACGAGGGAGGGAGACCAACGACCCTCGTCGGCTTGGTGAGTCGTGGTCACAAAGTCCCAGCTCAGCACTGAGACATCCATGTCTCGGTGTTCCATCAAGCGAGGGCGGAGAAAGGTACCAGGTAACGGAACCTTGAAAAGCCCAAAGAGGAAGCTGGTGTCCCCATAAATCAGCCTAGAGCTGGGGGATGAAGATGCTACCTGTGAGCTGCCTACCCTTGACTCCCCCCCAAATGAGTGAGGGAGTTAGGGTGAACGAGCTTATGTTAGTTTCAAGAGCTTTTGATTGTTAGTTTAGATAGTTGGGTGGAGTTCTTTCGGTGGTTCTCAAGGCTATGGTCTTTACTGAAGCCAGCAGTGGTTTGTTTTGACTCGCTGAATTTCAGGTTGCTTTCCCTGGTGGTAGCATAACTGCATAAATAAATGTCACTGCTCTCTGCTCCTCTGAGAGGGGGCCAGGTTCAGGTGCTGGTTCCCAGTAGGTCTATAGAACTCTGTGGCTGATATGGCCTAGTAACTGGTACCATATCAGCATATGATAGTTTCATGGAGCCACAAGGGGTCACAAGGGGCTTCTTCCCCAAGAAACCTCCTAAATGTGCACTGCAGGCAATATGATTACAACAACCGACACCAAAGCCTTAACATTCAGACTGCCTCAGAACAGGACAGAACAGCCCAACCACAGCCCAGATGCAGAAAACAAAAGATAAGTGACCATGAATCTCAGCAGCCGAGGCAACAGAAGCAAAAAGCAACTGTACAAGGAGCTGTCCCATACCCGCAACTTGGGGGGTAATACTGGAACAAGCAGGCAAGGGTCCAGCAGTGCAAACAAGGCACAGCTCATGAAAACTTAAAAGACAAACCCCCACTTCACACCACTCAAGCATATGATTATGAAAAAACTGAGCCAAGCCCCATCAACAAGATAAATGGGTTGTCCATAAGCCAGGATGAAACAGGAATCTCAGAACCACAACCTAAAGGCGGAAGCTCATGCGTCCTCAAAGGAGGCCGGGTTAAGCAAAGAAGCAAGGGCCTGATCCCTCAGGAGGAACTAAAAAATATCCGACCAGGCATCTAACATGGTTAGTAAGCAAGATGACAGAAACCTCTTGAAGTATGCATCCAAGGACCCCACCGAGGTATGGAAACACCTGGAGAGGAGCAACAGCAGCCAAGGAACTAAGCTCAAATATTGATGGAGTAGTGATCTCTGTAGAAAAATAGACACCCCTGACATACAGGAAACTGGTATGGTTACTTGGAAAGATACTACAAGGGAAATCACAAGATGCAAGGAAATGTAAACAACAGATATCTCTGACTGATATCTGTGTGGAAATTCTGGCAGTTGTACCTATCCATATCTCCACAGTAGGCAGACACAGCATAATACATGCATACATACTAACTGTATTGTACATCAACGCTGCTCAACAGGCCTGCCTCTTGTCATTCAACTGGAAATTACCTGAGTAATTACCTAAGTGTAATTACCTAAGTGTAGTTACAGGATGAGAGCTACGCTCGTGGTGTCCCGTCTTCCCAGCACTCTTTGTCATATAACGCTTTGTAACTACTGACGGTCTTGGCCTCCACCACCTTCTCACCTAACTTGTTCCAACCGTCTACCACTCTGTTTGCGAAAGTGAATTTTCTTATATTTCTTCGGCATCTGTGTTTAGCTAGTTTAAATCTATGACCTCTTGTTCTTAAAGTTCCAGGTCTCAGGAAATCTTCCCTATCAATTTTATCAATTCCTGTTACTATTTTGTATGTAGTGATCATATCACCTCTTTTTCTTCTGTCTTCTAGTTTTGGCATATTTAATGCCTCTAACCTCTCCTCATAGCTCTTGCCCTTCAGTTCTGGGAGCCACTTAGTAGCGTGTCTTTGCACCTTTTCTCTGAATTGAATTTTCCCTGAAAAAACTGAATTGTGACCAATTCCAGTTGCACTACCTGGTTCAGGATCAACTCGAAAAGAGGCCTCCATCAAGGAAGAACACAAACATTCCAGAGAAAATATGTCTGATGGTTAACAATCCTTGTTAGCAATCCCAAAGAATGTAACCTTGAAATGAAAGCCAAAGCAGACTAAGTTAGGAAGACAAACATAATAACAGTAACATATGATGGCAAATACATGTGGTCTATCTTGGTAGTGGGATGCTCTCTGATCCCCCTGTGGTCTCATTTTACAGTATGAAATCTATTGTGTCAGTGACATAAGTTGAGGAAGGCTGCAAAGGGCCTTGCCAAAATCAGGGTAAGGGTAAGTGATCATGTGAGAGTTTTATATGTACCAGACATAAAAATAATAAGTCCAGGAGGATAGTGTGACTCACCCATAGATGACGTTAATCACTTTAGTTCTCATCCACATAAAGCAACAAAATTATGTCTAACCTGTGTGCTTGCGCATATGTTTTCGTAGATACTCATTTTGCTTGAAAGTCTTTGCACAAAGTGAGCAACTGTACAAATGTTCTGGATGGGACTGGTGAGTCAGGAGATGTCTCAAGTGAACACTCAGCTGACGACTCTCTAAGCCACATTCATCACATCTGAAAAGTAAGTTTTCAAGTACAATACTCAAGCATTAAAAAAAATATTATACAGTAAGGTGGCTGGAAGAACATATAAATAAAGCATTATGTGAGGGAATGGTGTCCTCTCAGCTACTCTTGAATCCTATGGCTGAGAAAATGGGTACAAAGGAGAAAACGGGTTTAAAACAGCGAAGCTGTTGAGACAGGACGTAATAGAACCTAGTACGTAATAGCTGTCTCCTGTTAGGTTAGTTCGTAAACCAAATGGTTGTTATTGCTTTTGTATGGACTACCGGAAGGTAAACGAAATAACTAAGGGTGATGTGTATTTTTTACCCCAAATTCAGGAGATAATGGATCAATTTGGAGCAGCTCAGTACTTTTCCACTCTCGATGCAAAATCGGCATATTGGGCAATACCAGTTGATGAAAAAACCAGCATTGAATGTAATGAAACGCCATTTTCTGGGTGAGCCCCGGAGGCTCCCTGGAGCTTATCGGGCTAATGTATGTTATATTAGACCCCGGACATTAGCTAAGGAGTTCAGACCTACCAGGGACCAGCGCCAGAACCTGGCCCCTTCAGAGAGGTTTCAGGGAGCAATGGCCCTGGAAAACCCCTTTAAGGGATTTTCCATATCTGCCATCGACCGGGCTTTGCAAACAGAAAGGTAGGCATAACAAAACAAACCCCACATGGTAAAAAAACCAGCGTTGAATGTAATGAAACACCATTTTTCTGGGTGAGCCCTGGAGGCTCCCTGGAGCTTATCGGGCTAATGTATGTTATATTAGACCCGGACATTAGCTAAGGTGTTCAGACCTACCAGGGACCAGCGCCAGAACCTGGCCCCTTCAGAGAGGTTTCAGGGAGCAATGGCCCTGGAAAACCCCCCTTTGTGGTTGGGGTTTTCCTTATCTGCCATCGACTGGGGTTAGGCACCCAGAAAGGTAGGCATAACAAAACAAATCCCACATGGTAAAATATGAAAACCAAAAACCAAACAGAGAGGTAGAAACACCCTACAACCACAAGGAAACAAGCAAACGAGCAAACATCACACTTTACTGCCGCGCCAATCGTCCGCGCAGCCCTCCCCGCTCCGAGAGGAGGAGGGGGGAGCCCCAGACCTACCGCGCCGGCTGCCAAGCTTCAGTTCGGAAGCTAAGCTTCAACCAACGCGAAAAAACTGCCGACCAGTGGGAGGGAGGGTTGCCAGGGAGAATCCGGGGATTACCCAGTAAATGGCGTTTCATTACATTCAAAGCTGGTCGGCTCCTAGAAGCTTCATACCCAAAGAGAAGGAAAAGAAAGGGCCAACCCGGGAGGTGGCCGCCACAAACTCTGCAACGCAAAGCCGAGACAACAGGTTGCAACCCGAGACCCAAGGCAACAAGAACGCACAGGAGCAGACGAGCATAAAGAATGGGCGGCCAAGAACCTGTGCGACCCTTAAATCCCTGCGCTTGAAATGAGCCCTAGACGTCACCAACACAGCAGCAAAAGCTGCAAACGTCTGAACGGCACGAGCGCAAAGACAGACCGCAGGCTGGAAGAATGAAAAACTCTGCGGATGACCTGGGAGACCCGAGCCCTGAAAACAGGGAACGAGGGGAACCGGATCAACCACAGTGCATCTCCAGACACTGTACGCAGGTAACAGCAAAAAGCACAACCTGACAACACAGGACGCACCCCTGGCCAAACCAATCAAGCATCAATAACCCAAGAACCCTTCCAGAAAGCAGCCGTCTCGACCGTCGCCAGAAGGATGGAGAAAGGCTGCAAACGTACAAACCTACCACCAGTACCAAAGAGCAGAAACCCCAGCACCGGAAAAGTCGGAAGCTCCCCAACCCAACCCACAGAGGCCCATGCACACAAAATATGGCCTATGAAAACCAAACTTGAACTGAAGGGGCTACCACAAACTGAGGAGAAGATAAGAAGGCACCCTGGTCAAGGACCAGGACGGCTCAGGCGACGCATGAGCAGGACGGAGGTGAAACAAAACACCAGAAAGCGTACGAAACGTCATACTGTCCCCAAGACGAAGCTTGCAAGTGGGACATCGTCAAAAAAAGCCACCTGAACACCACAGAGATGGTGATACCCGCGTCAAAATACCAGACGCGAAGAGCCAAGGAGAAGGTCGAACCAGTCACGTACAGGACCGATTCGACCTGCCGAAAGAGGCGGAGCCGCGGGAAAACGCCCCGGGTTCGAACACCTATCAAGCAGCGTCTGAAAATAAGGCTGGGCCGGCCACCAAGGAACCATAAGGACTGCTCTCAAGGGAATGGGCTGCAACCGAGCCAGAACCCGAAGCAACAGCTGGACCGGGAGAGGAGGAACAGGTACCGCTACCTCGACCAGTCCTGCCGAAAAGCATCCACCGTGAATGCCTCGCAGGTGGAAAAGGGCGCTACATAAAATGGACGACGCCTAGACCACGCCGACTCGAAGACGTCCACGGCCAGGAGTCCATACGTCCGACAGAGCCAACAAAACGAGTCGGCGACGACTGACCAATTTGCGAACAGAGGAAAGAACAGAGACAGCTGTCCAGCTGTCCGCCAGGACACAGGACACACCCCGGACATGAACCTCACAGTTAGCCAAACCCCTGTGGTTCTGCATTGAACCGCCAGAGAACATTCCGAACACAGCTGAATGGTAGAGCACCGAATGACCCAAACCCCCCGAAGCGCAAACCAGACAGCCACGAACTCCCGAACCGTGCTGTGAGCCCGACGGACGGACAGAATCCACCAACCTCGGCCGACCTGGTGAGCATTGGTCACAAAGCCCCAGCCGAGAGATGACCTGTCCGTGAACACATCGAGCGAAGGCTCGGGAGGTGCCAAGGCACGGAACCACGAAAACTCCAAAGAGGAAGCTGGTGACGCAGCACCAACACAAGATCCCCGGAGGAACGAACCCAACGAATGCAAGAGGTGGAAGAGGAGTCTTTGAAGGAACCAAACAGACGCCGAAGCCAAACCCAACTTAGCGGGCAGACCAGCACGTCGAAGTTCAGAATCCCACACAACTGCTCAAGCAACCGCTGAGCAACCGCTGAGCAACCCCTCAAGTACCGCCAAAGGCGGGACCACAGCCGCAGTAACACTTCTGGAGGGAAAGACAATGAGTGGCCCAATAGCCCTAAACAAGGCCCAGGTCCGAACCCGGGACAGAAACAGATGGAATGGCCTCCAGATCACCAGAAAACCAAACCCGGCGATCTGGAAAGAACCACACCCCTGGCGAGCAGACAAGCGGACTGACTGGGAGCCCACACCAGCCAGTTGTCGAGGTAGGCCAGACACCGAATCTCAGACTCAGACAGGGCACTAAGATCCGGTAAAAATGCAAAAAAAAATTTACCAAGTGCCCATTACAAAGTAGGGAAGGCAACAAAAGCAGCAAGCCTGAAGCCCCACCACCAACTGTGCCAGTCCCAGAAAACTGGAGAGGAACGTGCCAACAAGTGACTTGGAGGTCCAGGGCCACCATCCAGGCACCCGGCCCCAACAGAAGCAGGACAGGAGACAACAGTCTTCCAAGGAGGGCATAGAATCCAGGGCGCAGACTGAAGAAGTCCAGAAGAACTGCAGGTGGGAAAGGCCCATGACTGCAAGGAGCAGACGTGAACCCCAGAAGGATGGGGCGGATCAACCACGTCCAATGCACCCACTAAGATGACATGACGAAGCACAGGGGAAGAAGCCCACCCCGCCAGTTCTGAACCCCCCAAAGGGGGAGAAGCCGTCTACCGACGCCACCAAAGGCCGGAAGACAACCAAAAGCGCCCACCAACAGCGGGACCATGTGAGAGTCAACAGAGCAAGCTGCTCCCCCAGCGCCCCGTCAACAGAGAAGGGAACAGAACCCCTTTCCGAAAGAAAAAGTACAAACACATATACACACTATGTATATACACAAACACACAAGATATGTAACACGTGTGTATACACATGTACACACACACACACAGCATACACATGTACATGTGTACACACACACGTGTGAGTTTAGGAAGTGATGTGGTGGAGGCTGACTCCATACACAGTTTCAAGTGTAGATATGATAGAGCCCAATCGGCTCAGAAATCTGTACACCTGTTGATAAACGGTTGAGAGGCGGGACCAAAGAGGCAGAGCTCAACCCCCCCAAACACAACTAGGTGAGTACAACTAGGTGAGTACATACATTGCAAAAGAAAAGTACCAGTCGCCGACCAGTGGGCAGAGAGCACCACGCTAGCCAGGCAAAAAAGGCACAAAACTGCATCAAAAAGCCCACCTCGACAGCAAAACCTCAAAGTCCCAGCACGACCACAACATGTGCCAAGACCCAAAAAGATCAGTCTGCAGGCCAGGAAGACCCCGGAACCCCAAAAGGCAGAACTGGGTTACGAGGAAACAAAGCCCCCTGAACCCACAAAAGGGGGCCCAAGAGGAAGAAACCTCCGGAACAAAACCAAAGAACCCAAAGGAACCCAGAATCGAACCAGGGGGGAGCCCAAACCACCACATTTGCCGGCGGAGAACCAGAAAGGCAAAGCACAGCCCCCAGACAGAACCCCCTGGGAAAACAGTCATAACAGACTGAAAACCGAAGGACAAGGTGTAGGAGCAAGCATACCAGCCAGGGGACACTGAGTCCGAACCCAAAGGCCCAGACCCAAAACAGACAAAATGGAAAACTGGGTGTAAAATCAACACCCAAACGTTCCCAGAGGAACAGGCAACGGGCAGAAAACACCAGAAAAGCAAAGAAACGACAACAGTAGAATAAAAAACCCTGAAAAAAGGTGGAAACTCACCCGAGAAGCTCGCTCGCACACCCAGTCGCATGTAAACAAACCGCAACGCCGCCCTGGTGGCCATGCTGGGAAATCGGCAGACGAAAGTGGCCGCCAGCAGGGGCTGTGACTGACGCTAAATACACAAAAACACGCCAGCAAAAGTGGGAAGCAAGCAGACTGGATGGGTGAAAAACGCCGCCCAAC